TTTCCGTAATTTACCTTAACTAAGAGGCTTTTGGAATGTATGCAGGAACTCAATTTGATGTCAAAAAATAACAACCTTGTTGTTGGTTACTAAAAGTTAGAAGCTACACACACACACACACACACACACACACTAAGTTTGTTAACTTTTCTGAAGAGAAATAGAATTAGTAATTTTGGCAGAAAATCGAAACCTTAAACCATCTTTATTAAGGGAGGTAAATTTCCCCCACAAAATCAAAAAAAGAAAACAAGCGTACACCAACGATAAAACGAAACTTGGCGGTGCGTTTTGGCGTCAAAGAATAAAGTAAAACCCCGAGTTTTGTGCGGTTTGCACGACTCTTTCTTATCCTATATAAACCCCTCCACCCGCTCTCCCTTTTCCTCATCCCTTGTTCTGTCTCTTCCCTCTGTCCCTTGTTTGGATTCACCCTCTCTGCAAATCAGGTAATTTTTTTTCTTTTACCTTGTTACTGTTTGATTGGAATTACCATCTTTCAGGTTATGTTTGATTTATTGCTTAGTTCTATCTAGTTTTTTGGGTTGATTTGATTTGCATGAGAAATGCTTGAGGAATGGATTGTAGTTTCTAATTTAGTTTTTGTAATTAAAATCTGGGTTATTGGTAATTTACATGAGCTGGGTTGTTTATGGAATTACATCATGATTTTTGTATTGATTAAAGATGTGTACTTTGGTAATTGTTGAGGCTTTCTTGTCCCCTTGTCCCCTTGTCCCCGTAATATCATGAAAATATCAAATTCTAGCTTTGTGTTATAAAAAAAAGGTGGCGTCATTGACACTAAAAGAAAAAAACTAAAAAAGTCACTCTGCACTCCTCCTAAACGTACGTTTCTTCTTATATTTTTATATGTTTGGAGTACTGAGTAACTTTTTCAGAGTAACAATAACCGCTCCCTTATGAAAATGGTGATTTTGGATATTTTTTTGTCAATTGGATCAATTAAAGTTGTGTAATTTGGTTTCACAAAAAAGAGAGTATATATTTACGTTGGTAATTGTTGAGGTTCGCCTATAATATGATGGAATTATCAAGTTGTGCTTTGTTTTTAATTTTATACACATATATTAAGCCGATCGGGTTTTGACCCTTTTGTGGAGCAGATTTTATATTGCTGTTCAAGAAAATCCCTTTTGCTGGTTACTTGATCTTCTTCTACCTCCAACAGTCAAGTTTCATGTCTGAATTCGACACCCAGGTCCCATCTGCTTTTGGTAAAGTTATTTTCTTCTAAGCTAATTTCATTTAGATGCATGGTATGATTTATAGGAAGGATGGTACTTGCAAGGAATTTGAAAAGGGTGACTTATTGATGTTTTGTTGTGTCTTTGTGGATTGTGTGTACGGGCAGATCCCTTTGCTGATGCAAATGCTGAGAACTCAGGTGCAGGGACAAAAGAGTATGTGCATGTCCGTGTACAGCAGCGCAACGGGAGGAAAAGCCTGACTACTGTACAAGGATTGAAGAAGGAATACAGCTACAATAAGATACTAAAGGACCTCAAGAAAGAGTTCTGTTGTAATGGTACTGTCGTTGAGGATCCTGAGTTAGGCCAGGTTTGTTCCCGTCCTTTAGTAAATCAAGATGCATTGTTTCCGTACCATGATGATTGTTGCTAATGTGATGTGCTGAAAAGGGTTGAAAGTAGAATTGCTACATGTGTAGGGTGATTGTACACCTTGCAAATATTATGTTTGCACATTTCATATTTTCCGTGTTGTACGAGCTTCTTGTTTATTAGACGTCAGCCAACATTTGGACGAATATTCACAGCTTCGGACCTTTGTCCTTAAAAACAAAGCTTTCTAAGTCACTGTTGCATGGTTGCAGGTCATACAACTTCAGGGGGACCAGAGAAAGAATGTTTCCTCCTTCCTTGTGCAGGTAACGCTTTGTGTCTGGTTTTCGATTATGTCGCCACAACCACGAATTTGCAATTGGTTCATGTATATAACTTGCCAACTTTGCGTGTTCATTTAAACAGGCGGGCATTGTTAAGAAGGAGCACATCAAAATTCATGGTTTTTGAATAGCAGCAGCGCTGTTCACCCTATGTAGATTACAGTATCTCAACCTGCATAGCGAGTATTATATCGCCTATGTAGATTTAAGTGTTGCTGAAACTTGTTCTCTTGCATGCACCTTATAAAGGTCTGATACAATACTTTTGTTTTCGTTATAGTTCCGCTGCTGTCTGTGTTATGTCAAAGGATAATTCAAATCCCTTTATCTCGAATAATATATTCCTGATTTCTGCAAGCAAACTCTCTTGATTTTTACTTTCTGGCCAGTGGGCGCCTTTCTTCCATGTGTTCTGGAAAATGGCTTCTCTATTTTGAGAGGACGTCATTCCACTTCTCATGGGCTCATCTGACTTAGCCCAATGGGTTGTGTCTTTATCTTTTCCAGTTTCTTAGCCTAAAACCTCCAAGTCCAAATTGTGGAACCTGGTTTGTTAGGCTTAAAAAAAAAAAAAAAAAAAAAAAAAGGAATTCAAACTCTGACTGCAAAAAGAAAGAGTAAACACATTTTGAGTTCGTTTGAAAGAGCTTTCGAAATAAAGGGAGGTGATTTTAACACACCTTGTTTAGTTTTGCACACACCTCTTAATATTTGGCCATTGGATTGGACAAATCAAACAATCAACTGACAAGATTTAACAAAGGTGTGTGAGAAGTTAAAAATAGATGTGTTTTTATTATTTCCTTAAAATACCTGAAAATTATTTTTTCTTTTAAAGAAGATTACAATATTTTATTCATCGATAAAATGACATTACAAGTACCTATTAGGAAGAACTCGGTCTCAAAAGGGTTCTTGTAAACCAGATCTAAGTATTACAATAAAGTATTACTAATCGAAAAGCAATAAATAGTCATTAACACTCATCCGAGCTCATTGGAAACTACATAATTATACATATCAATAAAATTGAAAGCTATTTTAAAGAAAAATATTTTTAGTTTTAAAAGCACTTGAAGTGAAAAAGATTGGTTTTGAAATTATTTTCATTAAAAACGTTCATTTAGAAGTATTATCACACGAGCGTTTACACTAACTAATGTGACTTGCTCATGTCATTGTCACCGACAAGGAAAGAGCAATTTACATTTCAATATAAAAAGGAAATTTTGCTACAATTGTTTATATGTATTTAATATTTTCATATTTCGACCGTCAAATACTAATTAATTATATTTTCATTCTCTCATAGTTTGTAATTATACGTCAATATCTTAATTTTCAATTTTTTCAATTGAGTTTTATATTTCATCCCACTATAATAAATAGACTGAACCACTTCGCTAGTTTGACTATGAGTCTCAATTAGTCAAATAACACAGCTACTTTTTAATTCCTGGATAATGAAAATCCCCTTATTTAATAATGCTAATCTTCTCTCAGAAAATTAATTAAAATACATCAAGGGATAATTGCCTGCCGACTTCAGAGCACTGTAGGAAAAGATGAAATTGGGATCTACTGTGGCCGTCCAATTAGTTTATTACTTTTGTTCGATATCTGTCGCACACCACCACCTTAACCACGTTCAATGAAATGCAGTGTGAATCAATGCTAGCACATGATTCTTATCACTACAGTGTTAAATGTTTTATAGCGATAGCCACCCATACGTGCATGTAATGATGGATTTACATAATATAACATGGAGTGCAAGTTATTGCCTTTACTAACCATGTTGTTAGTTATGATAACGTAACTGTTATGTAGGCATTCTTTGAGCATAGCGATTTAGAATGTTCGACAAATGTCCTCTATAAGAATTGAAGGCAAGAAGTAAAGTGACTTATGTATGAATTGTTTGACAGAAAGAGAAATGTAGTGTTTTTCGCTACGTAATTTTTTTGAAATCACCTTTGAGTACGTGATAGGTTGATATATATTATTGGATTCACTTAAGTTATTGTTAGTAATTGATGTACGTGCGACTTGTAGCATTATTTGTAATAATTAGGGTTTATATTTAATTTTTTAATAGATAAATCAATTTGTTGTGTGTTTACAGCTATTCCAAATGGCGCGTGAGATTTGTTGGAGTTCTCCTATACACAATCATTGAACAATTGATTTGGCTGGGGATAAAAGAAGATAAGAAGCTGAGAGGGATGGTTAAGACATTACGATTTTTAATTGACCGTCATCGAACATGATGTCGTATTGTACCATATTTTTTGTTTTCTCATTTGGCATTTTCGTTTTATTTTTTTGGACAATCATTTAAGAAAATGGCATTTTCTTTTTTCTTTTTTTGGACAATTATTTAATTTGTGTGATGAAGTCTGTTAACAATTTTTTGGAAGACAGTCCGTTAACAATTTTAGTCATAATTATGATTGATTTTCCTCAAACTTTGTACAAAATTGCATGTTAATTAGGCTCATATGCATGCACAGCTTAAAATCTCAATAAAATAATTTTCTCGAACCATGAAATAAATTTTTGGTGAAACATCGTACTCATGTGATTGGGTCATGTCAGGGTCATGTACAACCTTGGTTAAAACGTAACTAGTTCCACCACATATAAGAGCACATATAACATCTCTATGATCATAGTGACAACAAACGTAGTTCCTCCTTTATATTTCCCAAACCCGAAGAGTCAACATCTAAAGACTACCTATGCTTAAAATCAAGTGACCTTGAATGGTTTGATCATAAAAATTTCAATCATTTTAATTAAGTTGGACATGTACAGTTGGACCCAACACTTGATTTAGAGGTATGAGTACAATTACTCCAAGCTTTCCAAATCATCAAAAATTCTATGCCAACCAACAGGTAAGTATGCAACTACCTATCAAAGGTTGGACTAAAGAAAACCCCCGCTTTATCCAACTACCATTCTTCCTTTGTCTTCCTCTCTCTCATCTCACCGCCCATTCTTCCCCTATCCTATCCGTCGTCGTCATGCACAACATTATCTTTCGAGGATTCTTCCTCCTATTTATTCGACGACTGCCTTCAGTTTCAAACACAGTTTCCTGCACTACTTGTTCTTTTCTATATATGCACTTATATTTAAACCCTAGTTGAAATCTGTGGCTCCAATTTTTCTCATATTTTCAACTCCAATGGCTGACTTGGATCACTCCCACTCCTCATCTGACGACAATTCTGTGGATTCTAGAGGTAACCTTTTCATAATATCATGTTTTTTATTTTTTCCAAACCATATATTTCAACTAGTGGTCCAATTTTCTACTTGCTATTGATACTTTGGTGGGTGATCCTTTGCAATCTGTGTTTTTGGTTTTACATCTTATTTTCTCTTTGAATTTTATATGTTATATATGTTGGAGAATAAGATTCTACATTAGTTATATAACAAAATAGTATATACCTAATATATGAGAGTTTTCACCACTAATATCATCGAGGTCTTTTATGTAATTAAACTTAACAACTAATAATAGGTGGTTATGTTAGAACAATATTGGTGATGGTGTGATAGGCTATGGTGGGCCTATAAAGTTTACCAATACATAGTATGTTTAGTTTTTGGATCTATTTTTCTCTTCCCAGGTAACTCTCTTTGAAATTAATGATCATTTAGTTGTTGTGATTAAACATGCATCCACTTTGTCTTAATATTTGATTATTGGTTTGGGAATTTTTAGTTTTTTCTCAACAAATAACTCACAAATAGGCACCTTAATTATATATCTCAAATTTTTGCAGAGGAAAGTAGTCAAGACTCTAAGCTTGACTTTTCAGAAGATGAGGAAACTCTAATCACTAGGATGTTTAATCTGGTTGGTGAGAGGTGAGCCATTATTTTCTTCTTCCACTTTTTATGTCTAATTTTTTCATAGTTTCCCTTAATCAACTTGGCTAGAGAGCAGTCTGCTTCTCTTCGGCTCTCAGTTCAAATCCTCATCTCCGTAGTTAGATGAACGTAGTATAGTATATCGCTTGTATAATAAAATGACCTAATTTCCCTTATCTTTTCTTCTTCTTAGGTGGTCTCTGATTGCTGGGAGAATCCCTGGAAGATCAGCAGAGGAGATTGAAAAGTACTGGACATCAAGATACTCAACAAGTGAATGAAGTGCCAAAAACAATGAATGGTTCAATGGCGTCTCTCTCTGTTTAGAGCAGAAAATTTTGGGGTGTGGTTAACAACGTTTGGGGTGTACTTAAAGCATGTGTTGTTTTTTCCAGTTTTCTTTGCTTGAACAAGAAAGCTGTAGTAAAGAGGTTTTTGCTTGCAATCAAACGGGGGCATTGTGCAAGTGCCCATCTCTCTGTACAATAGTTATTGCCTTATTGGTTTAATGATGTTTGGGTTGTCAGTTTTAATTTACTTCTGTTTATGTAAAGTTGTTTGGTTTAAGCTGCTTAATCTATGGGCTTTTCTTATTTTTAGAACCGAGTGTTGAATTGATTAAGATTAAATATTGTCATTATCATGTGGAGGAAACTGTTGATTCCTGCACACATTCTGAAGAAATCCAATACAATATTCGCTCTTCATGACCAGTCAAAACATTGGACTACAAGCAGAGGCGGATGGAAATAGGGACCAAGGTGGTCCCAGCACCATGAGAAGTCTAAAACATATACACGCAAAGGTCTTCTGAGAATCCTTCAAATGTTTGATGCGAGTTTTTTTTATGCCTATTAAATGTTTGATGTAATACATGCTAGACATATCTTAACAGGTTGTGTCGACAATACTTGACAAGTTCTCTCTATATCAATCATTAAATTCCTTTGCCATATGCTGCTATCTGTTGACATGTGTGCAATACAATTTGGGAGAACAAGCTCACCAACCATTCGATGAAATGCCTCAGTGAATAAGCTGAATTTTTTATTTTTTATTTTTTGCGTGCTTCACGTTCTGTTCCTATATAAAAAACTTGATTTAACACTGAGACACCTCAAAGTTCAAATCCTGGATCAACCACTAATCACAAGCAATGCACGCATTTGCCCGAGAGAAACGTATCTACATCTTAAATGTAACTGTGACAGTACTCCAAATCAATCACAAATTGTTATATACCATTTCGTATGTAAGTATCTTACTGGCTCGGAATAGTGGCATGGTATCATAGGTGTAAGTAATTAATTAATCATTCTCATTTGCAGAAAAGGCCATGCTAAACCATATTAGCTTTTTGTGTCCTGATTTTTTCAATTTGGAGCTATCTGTCAAGGCTCCTAGTCATGGCAGTAAGAGAAAGAAGATGAAAATGACCTTTAAGTTTTCACCTTCAACTTTTGGATAGGTAGCAGGTCCAAATTTCCAGCTTGTGAAATTGGGTGGAGGAGAATTTCATCGTCACCACATTTACCAAGCATGAATAAGTTTAATTAAACTACATCATGAAAATTATTTTCAAGTTTGGTTCATTCTTTCCTCAGAAAAATGAAGGACAAAGTTTGATTTTAGTCCATATAGTTTAGCTGAAATTCCACTACGATGAAGTGGAACTTTGCCTAAACTACAAGGACCACCACAGCCATATACTTTGGGCAAGAAGTCCCTTCAAAGACAACTGTAAAATTGGAACGATATATTTTAGCTGAGAATGAATGTAGCAACTAAATTTTCCTTGTTGAAGATTCAAAATAACACATTAATTATAACAAGGTTTTTATAGCCAAAATGGTCTCTGAGATTTGCAAAACACATCACTTTAGTCTCTAAGATTTGAAATCAATAGAAGTGGTCCTTGAGATTGTCCACCATAAATCATTTTGGTCATTTCATGCAAGATTATGTTAAATAAGGATCAAAATGACAAATATACCCTCAATTTAATAAACAATGGGTCAAAATGATTTGACCAAAATTAAGGGTATTTTGGTCATTTTATTCTTATTTAATGGGGATTTTTCACGGAAGGACCAAAATGATTGATGGTGGACAAACTCAGGGACCATTTCTATTGATTTCAAATCTTAGGGACTAAGGTGAGAAGTTATGCAAATCTTAGAGACCTATTTTGACTAAAAAGACTTATAACAATAATCAGCAAAAAGTTCCGTTCACTTTCTCTTCTCTCTCGCCCAAAACACAAAGCCCTAAACTTTTCTATCTCAACCACCGACCCCTCACTTTGGTTAGTGTCAGTGACAACAGTTACTTCTGCCCTATCTTTTCCTTCCCCAATGTTTCCTCCCTTTCGCTTAACTTTTATGGCTTTAGTTCTTGGAGCCATATTTATGAGCTTTTTGCGTCTCAGTTTAGTCTGAGCTTGTCTTAGATCTGGCCTTTCTTTTTCTCTCCAATTATCGTGACTCACTGCGAATCTTCTACAAACTACTCCTGCTACTCTGTTCATCCGGTGTCTCCTCCAATGATCTCCTCCAGCGACACAATTTGGTGATTGGTAGCTTTCAAAGTGCAATCTGCACTATTTGGTTGGATTATGGGAGCCTCAACTTCTGTGTGGCTATTTACAATAAGAAGTTATTCTTCTATACGTCTAAGTTATAATCTAATACATATGTAAAAGTAATTTATCAAAAGTCACAAAAATAGCATATTTTACGCACATTTTAAAAGGAAATTGTTATTAGCACTCTAAAATTCTCATTTTACATTCCAAGCTTTCTATATTTAGAAAAAAAATAATATATTTGTGAGGAATACAAAATGAGATTTTTAGAGTGTCAATAACAGTTCCCTTTTAAATTATGATTTGTATTCACAGAGACATAATTCGTTAGGTGTAATTTCTTTGGGAATTGTTATTAACACTTCAAAAGTCTTATTTTGCACTCTAAACTTTTTATAATTAAAAAAAATACAATTGTAAGAAGTGCAAAATAAAATTTTTAGATTACTAATAATAACTTTCATTTTTTTTTTTTTTGTTTAGTACTGTTAGAAAAGCTGAACCAGCCAACTAAATTTTGCAGAAATCGAAGTGTGTTTAGAAATCTAGTAAAAATCCATCTTTTTGTTATTAATTTATAGGAGAAGTGGAACGTGAGCTTGGGCATAATCATGATACAAGGATAAAAAGCACCATTGTGGCCAAAGAAAGGGGTCTAAAGAGAAGAAAAACAGCTTTTATGCTTTTCTCATATCATCATATTTTATATACGATGAATGATTTCCCAGGGCGAAGACCGTTTGTTAGAATAAGATGAAGCAAAACGATAAGAAATAAAAGCATGCCAGAAAACATGGAAATCGTGGAAACCAATGGATGCATGTTTTTATAAAGATGGCCAGCCTACTTTGAATTCGGATTGGATTGACTATGTAAAATTTATAAGATCCTACGTACAGATTATAATAAATATGTATTGACTGTCTTCAAACATGATTTTATTAAACAAATAGTCCCAATTCACAACTAACATAAGATAGTGTTATTCACACACGTTTTTATACCTTCTACATATTTTTGTTAATTTTTTAAATTTATTGACATTCTTCAAATTATTCGATCTGATGGTCGAAAACTAAAAAGAGTGTGTAAGAAGTAAAAATGAGTGTTTAGATAACACCACCCTTAAAATAGTAAAACATCGTAACACATATAACTATTGAGGAGCGACAGCTAGTTATGTATTATGAACTTTTCTGACACCTGCGATTGAATTAAGATGGATAACTCATTATATAAATAAGGTATATTGAACAAAGAAATTAAATTTTGTTGTCTAACTTAAAAATAAATTATAAATTACTTATTCAAAGAAACTTAAAACTAAAAACTAGAGATCCTGGGTTCGAAACCCGTTGCTGGTGTGAAAACTAGACTTGTGGCCAGGGAGAGACTGAAATGCCTCTGTGAGTATTCCCGAACCCTAGAAAAGGTGGATAATCGTAGTTTACCACCAGTTGTCTCCCTTTTTATAAAGAAAAATAATAGCATTAGATTGAATATGAAATACCTTTTAACATATCATGAGTTAATCCAATTAACGGACCATGTATATCGACTAATACATTGTATATAATTTTTTTTCTTTATAAAAGGGGGACAACTAGTGTCAAGTTATAGTTATCCATTTTTTTTCGGGCCCGTAGAGGGTATGGAGAATTTCACCTTATTTATGGTCACAGTCAAATAAACTCATCAACTCGGAGCATCAAACACATGATCTGCTTATAAAAGGGTTAGATCTATCTGAAGTTGATCGGGCTTACAAGCCGGGGGACATAATATGGGCTTGACCTTGATGTGACACCTTCATGCATGGCCCTTATATCACCAACCAATACTATACATTGACCCAAGGATTTGTGGCTCGAAGCGGTAAGACTCAAGCCACGTGTGATATTGATTTTTTTCATCAAAAGTTAATTTTAAAGTTTAATAAAAAGTTTTAAAATGAAATATTTTGCTTATTTTAAAACAATAACTTGTAGATAACAGGGTTTTTTTTTAAAAAAAAAATTTTTAAATTTTTTTATAATTTATAATTTATAATATATACTTTTTTTTTTAACAAACTGTTGTAGGCATAATGTATTGAACAATTATGAAGGCCATATAGAGAGGGGTGTGACAATAGTAGAGAGAAGAGAGAGATGTGTAATTGTGATGTGTTCTATTCCACCCTATTGTGTCTTTATTTATAGTAGTATGGAAGGTTAATTCATTACCTTTTTAGAATTATAACTCTAATAGGTAATTAACTACTAAAGGGAATATAAAAGATATCCCAGATATGTTAGGATTTACACAATCACATTCTAATCTAATAGAACTGTAACACTTCTCCTTGAGTGTGTAAATACTCAAACAAATGGCGTATCTAGTCTTCAGCGATGAAGTAAGTACAATTGATGAAGTCGTCGGCACAATGAGCGAATGTGATCTCAGATCAATGAAAGAATGCATAAAAAGATAAAACTCACAAAACCTTGCTATGGTAAAACCCAAGGTGGGAGAAAACCCATAAGCTAAGGAGAAAAGTGAGAAGTTGTATTAAGTCAAAACTATACGTATTCTGGACGTAAGTAGAAGAGCTCACAAGGGTATGATCAGCCTAGGATGGGTGCCTCGTCAAAACCTAGTTAGGTAGCAAAAATTTAGTGGGAAAAATGCTCCTAATCGTAGGGAAAAACAAGTACATTAAGATCAAGTGAGTATACTTCTGTATACTCCTCATGAGTTTGACAAACTTCCAAATGAGAACTACAAGCATTGTATATGAATAGTTAGGCATACCAATTCCTCGGACAAGCTTCTAGAAGGTTGACTTTGGTAGTGATGTTATGTAGAGATCAGCAAGGTTGTTAGGGATTGGCTTGCATGACTTCAATCTCTTAATGCTTTGCTAATGTAGATGTAGATGCAATATGTCTTGGTGTTGACTTCGTTTATGTATCGGGTGGATACATGTTGCATAATCTTCATGGATCGTTGTTGGGAGTCAACGATGGATGAAAA